AACAAAAAGAAGAATCATTACCGAAAACAGAAAAATCGTGTAGCACGAAAACGCAACCGCTTTAGAACTGTGTTAATAAGTTATTACAACAACCAATCATACGTATGTCAACCCACGGGTTGATCCGTGGGTTGGTTGTTACAACTCAACCCGTGTGACCCGGGTAAGACCCACCCGGGTCAAAACACTAGTTTCACATGATTTTTATCCAATTACATCGGTAATTTTTTGTTGTAAAGCGAGATTATACTTACGCATGTTTAGGGGAGTGTCGGATATCAGCTAATATCTAAATACTGAAATATATAGTATAATCAATCAAAATTAAATTTCTCATGAGGGAGGTAAGTAATAAATTGCTCTTAGCTAATATCTGTTATAGAAAGACGTATAAAAAAATATTTTTTATGTAATCATATCGATGTCGGAATCATTTCTATATTTGGGACTTTCTCACTGAGATTGTTACTGAGATTGTACGATAATATACGATCATCTTAATGATCTTCACGGAATTATTCGGAGCTTCTCACTTTATAAATAAACGCAAGTAGGGTAAGCCATCATTGGGACATGTATCGAAATGAAGACATATCGTATGGACCCGCAAGATCCAAATTCTTATCGTCATAGATTTTCTTTTGTCAATGGAATTATTTATCGTAAGATTATTAAAATAATACTAAAGATAATCATTTTTTAAGTATCAGTATCACACATTCTACTTACAAATCTGGGAACCCATGACATAGTATTATAACATCATTTCTTTCTTCTCCCTCGTCTACATAATCTGTTTTTTTGAATAAATAATTTTAAAATTTTAATTGTTATAAAAGAAATGATGTATATAGTAAATATATATTTAAGAAAATAATATAAAAATCTTACGATAAATAATTCCATTGACAAAAGAAAATCTATGACGATAAGAATTTGGATCTTGCGGGTCCATACGATATGTCTTCATTTCGATACATGTCCCAATGATGGCTTACCCTACTTGCGTTTATTTATAAAGTGAGAAGCTCCGAATAATTCCGTGAAGATCATTAAGATGATCGTATATTATCGTACAATCTCAGTAACAATCTCAGTGAGAAAGTCCCAAATATAGAAATGATTCCGACATCGATATGATTACATAAAAAATATTTTTTTATACGTCTTTCTATAACAGATATTAGCTAAGAGCAATTTATTACTTACCTCCCTCATGAGAAATTTAATTTTGATTGATTATACTATATATTTCAGTATTTAGATATTAGCTGATATCCGACACTCCCCTAAACATGCGTAAGTATAATCTCGCTTTACAACAAAAAATTACCGATGTAATTGGATAAAAATCATGTGAAACTAGTGTTTTGACCCGGGTGGGTCTTACCCGGGTCACACGGGTTGAGTTGTAACAACCAACCCACGGATCAACCCGTGGGTTGACATACGTATGATTGGTTGTTGTAATAACTTATTAACACAGTTCTAAAGCGGTTGCGTTTTCGTGCTACACGATTTTTCTGTTTTCGGTAATGATTCTTCTTTTTGTT